TTGCTTTAAAAGTAAACGTATATCGCTGCTATATCGCCAACATTATGCGTTGCCAGCGCGCGATCATCAGGGGGCGCGGGCACTCTCGCTCAGAGTTAGCGCGCGCACGCGTGTTTCTGCGCATTGCACGCACCCCGGCTCCTCTTTGCGATCGCTATACTTAACTTATAGCTAGCTAGCTAGCTATAGCGCTACCCGGGGGGAGGCAAGGGGTTTTGGGTTCAAATCTCTCTGGTAGAGGTCATCTTTGTACCTTTCTTCCTCTCTTTCTTACTACACATCTTCACCAGCCTTTCCGCCAGTCTAAGCCACTGCTTACACATCTGTATATACAATTCAGTAGAAGACAAAGAGTCCCTTGGTTGTGTAGTGAGTTTAGCTAGTGGGTTCATCGACCCCCAGGGTATTCACCCATGAAGGTTAACGCAGTTACGTTAGCCTAGGTTAACGCGGCTGACGTAATAGCGGGCGTGGTCAATTCGTGAGAGGGCCTGTCAGGTCCAGGCGCTACGCGCATGCGCGGATCTCCCGCGCGCGCCCCTTCATTCGCGCGGCAAAAATACAAAGCGTCGCAACGGCAAGGCAGAATTCAGTCCTCTTAGCAACGCTCTGAGCATCACAGCCTTTTTCTGCACCCTCCCTCCCGCCCCCAGCACAGGACTTCGCTAGTTCTTTTTGTCTTTCCATCTCTGGCATATTTCTATAGGGATGTGATAAGAGTCAGGCCTTTTTGTGTCCGAGGGTTTCCGCTAATGGCGAAATCTTCGGTCCAAGCACTAGGTGTGCGTCCGCGTCGTGCGCGTCACTCCGAGTCCGGTGACTCGGCTCGGCGCATGCGCACTACTACGGCCGCGGGCGCACAAGCGCATGCGCTAGGTCTCCGCCGACTAGCGCATGCCTGTACCAAGAGCTGTAAGCCCTGCTCGTGTTGTTTGCCGGGAGACCAAGGAAAATGTCAGAACAGGGGACGGAACCGTGGCAAGAACAACTCTCACTCTCACACATCCACACCTCCCTCCTCTGCTGCCTCTGCCTCGTCCGGGGTCCGGCATTCCAGTTCCTCCGTGTCCTCCGACGCCGCCGTTCCCCCACCCGTGCCTTCGAACTCATCCAGCCCTTGTCCTCCGGCTCCCGCCCTCTCGTCCTCCGTTCCACCGCAGGGGGGGACGCAGTCCGCATCCGTCAACGATGTGGCCCCTCGCAGTGTGCCCGGCAGTGCCCACTCATCCTCCCTTCCCACCGCGCGCGTCTCCGGCTCAACCTCGACCTCTTCCTCCATCCTGGCGCCCACTTTCTCCTGTCAGTCATCCTCTCTCCGTGACGGAGGTCACCCAAGTCCCCTCCCCCCTCTGGATTCGGTACTGCGCCTGAGAGTTCCAACCCTTCAACATGTCCCCAAGGCCATTAGAGACTCTTGGTCCCTACTCCTAGGTGACGTGCTCTCTGAGGTGGTGGGAAACCCTTTGCTGATCGGTCCCTGGTGTAAGCTTTTCATGTTACCCAAATGTGTATTAGCTAATCCCCCCAGAGGAGGCCGGTCCCACTGGCGTGCCACCCTCAAACTGGTCCAGTCTCGGATTCAGAGGTGGAAGGATGGTGATCTGTCGGGTCTGTGGTCTGATACTACCGCCAGTGTTAGGGGCCTCAGTGCTCGCTCAGTTCGATCTAAGTCGAAACCTCTATCTGCCGAGTCTCGTCGCCGCAGCAATGCTACTCGTGCCCGGCGTGCCGTGGAAGACGGCCAGTATAGGAAGGCTATTCAGTCCCTCACATCCATGGGGCTCGCCCTCGCATCGTCCGATGTTTTTAACGAAATGCTGGAAAAACATCCCAGTGTCGACCCTCCCACCATTCCTGAGACCCCTCCCCCTAATCCTATCGTAGTGTCTGTGGAGCAGCTGGTAGGTGCTCTTAGATCTTTTCCTGCCGGATCTGCCCCAGGCCCTTCCGGCCTCCGCGCCAATCACCTCAAGGAAGCTGTGTTTTGTCCCTCCCCTAATCGTGCCAACCACACTCTCCTGTGCCTCTCTAGGGTGGTTAACCTTTTATGTGCCGGCAAGCTTCCCCATGCTGTCATCCCTCATCTATGTGGCGCCTCCCTGCTGCCTTGTCTGAAAAAGGGGGGTGGTCTACGGCCGATAGCGGTCGGTGAGGTTCTCCGCAGACTTACCTCCAAGTGTGCTGCCAGGGCTGTCCTCCCGGATGCTCTGCAAATTCTTTCGCCCCTGCAAGTGGGTGTTGGCCTCCCGGCTGGCTGTGAAGCCATCCTCCACTCAGTCATGAACATCCACGAAAGCCCCAGCATCCCAGCCGATCACCGTTTCACTCTCCTCGTGGACTTTTCAAATGCCTTCAATTCAGTGGACCGGACCGCATTGTTCCATGAAGTGAGGACCCGAATCCCCACCATTTCGTCCTGGATGGAATGCTCATATGGCTTTCAGCCCAACCTCCTCCTGGAAAACCAAACCATCCCCAGTTGCTGTGGTGTTCAACAGGGTGATCCCCTCGGTCCTCTGGGGTTCGCCCTTGTCCTCCACCCTATCGTTGAGAAGATTAGAGAGTCCGTCCCTGGCCTCCTTATTAACGTTTGGTACCTCGATGATGGTACCCTTTGTGGCACCCAACAGGATCTCGCTGCGGCTCTCGCCATCATCGAAGCTGAAGGTCCTCCACGGGGACTATTCCTGAATCGGGGCAAATCGTTCATCCATGCTCCGGATAACTCCTCCATCACCCATCCCATTCTCCGCGGCATCCCCACCTCGTCAGATGGCTTTACTCTGCTGGGATCCCCAGTTGGTCCAACCAGTTTCTGTGAGGACATCTTCTCCAAGAGGGTGAGCAAACTCGTTGATACCCTCTCTAAACTCGCAGACCTCGAGGACTCTCAGATGGAGACCGCCCTACTCCGTTCCTGTCTGGCTCTACCCAAGGTTGCCTATGTTCTTCGCACCTGTCCCCCCCGCCCTCATTCAAGAGGCTCTAGGGTCTTTCGACCGCATTATGCGTGATGCCCTCTCTGATCTCGCTGGGGGCCCTCTACCCGATTGGTCCTGGGCCAAAGCCTCTCTCCCTTCGTCCCTAGGGGGGCTGAATGTTCGTCAGGCCTCCTTACATGCCCCTGCTGCCTATATTGCTTCCTTCCTTCAAAGCAGACCCCTAATTTCAAGGATCCTGGGGCACGCCGCCAACCCCCCTGTCCACCTCCCTGACACCATTAGGTCTCTGGCCCTGGCTTCAGCTAGACCTGATTGGGTGTCCATCCAGGATATCGATGTTCCCCACAGTCAACACAGCCTCTGTCGTGCTATAGATGAGGCATCCTTTGACACCCTGTTGGTCTCAGCTCCAAACATTCGCTCCAAAGCCCTGGCCCTTTCGTCCGCCATTCGTCATGCCGGCGACTGGCTGAACGTCATCCCGTCCTCTGCCCTGGGCCTCCACCTTCCAGACCGGGAATTCCGATTCTGCTTGCAGTACTGGCTGGGCCTCCACATGTTCGAGGAGGGTATTAGGTGTCCTGTTTGTCATGTCCCGGCTGACTCCTTTGGGGACCATCAAGTGGGTTGCGGAGGAAACTGCGACAGAATCCTCCGACATAACTCCCTTCGGGATGCAGTTTTTTCAGCAGCTCAGTCAGCTGCCTTGGCGCCCCGAAGGGAAGTCCCCTCTCTGGTCCCCGGCACCCGCAGCCGGCCCGCTGACATCTATCTCCCCTGCTGGAAAAGAGGCCGCCCTGCCGCCCTGGACATCACCGTCATCTCTACACTACAGCAATCAACCGTTCGGGGTGCTGCAGAAAATCAGGGCCATGCCCTTTTAGTTGCTGAGGAGAGAAAGTTTGCTTCTCACGGTGCAGCCTGCCAGGCCGTTGGCATCAGTTTCATCCCTCTCGCCATAGAGTCCCTAGGTGGCGTGAGTGATATGTCTGCTGACACCATCTCCAGCCTGGGCCGTCTTTTGGGTCAGCGTTTGGGGATCTCTCCGGTCGAATCTACTCGTCATCTTTACCAAAGACTCGCAATATCTCTCTGGAGGGGAAATGCTTCTGCCTGGATTCACCGCAGTCCACAACTTGCCCCCTCACTGGATGGTGTTATTTGACTCTGTGTTGTTTTGCGTTGTTTTGTTGTTCTTTTGTGTTTTTTGTTTTGGTTTTTTTTTGTTTCTTGTTGTTGATATGGAATTCTCGCTTGCGTCCGTGTTCCATACCGAACACGGAACCTGACTCGTCCTCCACATGAGTAAGTATAAATAGGACCTGAACGGACACAGTGCGCGAAGCGAGCGAGCGTGTACTGGATCGAGTAGCAGACCCTCTAGCAGACCAACGGGATTGTCGCCATCATGAACATACAGGAGAAGAACAATGCCGTGGAGGAAGAGGGTCCACAAATACCCGAAGAGATGGTCCTAGCTCCTCCAGCGCGGAGCTCAACAGGTATAGCTAACAGCCGTATGACAAGCTAGCGTTGCAACTAACACGCATTCCAAGACACAGCCGACTTGGAGTCAGGCGCTGCGGCTTGCGTCCGTGTTCCATACCGAACACGGAACCTGACTCGTCCTCCACATGAGTAAGTATAAATAGGACCTGAACGGACACAGTGCGCGAAGCGAGCGAGCGTGTACTGGATCGAGTAGCAGACCCTCTAGCAGACCAACGGGATTGTCGCCATCATGAACATACAGGAGAAGAACAATGCCGTGGAGGAAAGAGGGTCCACAAATCCCCGAAGAGATGGTCCTAGCTCCTCCAGCGCGGAGCTCAACAGGTATAGCTAATAGCCGTATGACAAGCTAGCGCTACAACTAACACGCATTTCTACTGCACCACCAAGCCACAGCCGACTTGGAGACAGTGAAAGAAGAGAGTCCGCATGGCCAAGAAGTGAAGACTGGACCAACATCATCTCTGTCTGCCCCACCTCGAGCTGTTTCAGGTACGAAATACAATCTAGCTAGCTATCTAGCTATATATTATTTGGAGCCTATTTACTGCTAAACGCATTCTATCACTTTTGCAGCAGCAGAACAAGCTGTTAGTGAGAGGGACGAAGCAACTAAAGAAGGTCCACTCGGGTCTCAAGAGATGCTGACCGGTGTACCATCACCAACAGATGAAGCCCAGTTCGCAGCCCCAGCTACCGACGACGGCAACGAGAGGCAGAAGGAGAAGGAGGAGCAGCAGGGACCGTGGCAGATGCCCATACAAGAGACAGGGCCCCACTTGCCTCAAGAGCTTGCTCAGTGACACAGAACTCTTTTTAACCGTACTAACATGTTTGATGCTGTACTTTTATGGCAACCATGCTGACTTGTTTTATAATGTATAATGTACCCACATGTTTGTATTTGTAATGCCTACCCATGATGGCTTGCCTGCAACTTCTTACTCACATGTTGTTTATTTGTATACCAACCCATGAAGACTTGTCCTATCTAAGCAAGTTGGGAGTTCATAATAATTTTAGTAGAGCAACGAATTGACCTCATTGGTTCACACCCACTGCTCATGCATGGTGAAAAAATGAGTATATACACACTAACAAAAAGATGTTACGGAGTTCAGTCACTCCACTCGTCACTATCACAGCCGTCCATGGCCTCTTGAGGTAGAGGGTCTTCATCTTGATCTCCCATCTTCTCTATCATGGCCGACATCAACTGTATATAGGGGGAAACGGGAGAGGGCAGCATTAGCCAATGATAACCACAGACAACCATTATCTCCATACCAGCATATAATACCACAGTATGACAAATGAACTAACCTCTTCTTTCTTTTCCTCATCAGTCTTGAAGTCTGGGTTATAACTCTGATACTTCTTGGGAGCTGGTGCTGCCTTTGGAGCCTCACTCACTGCAAGTAATGAATTTCCAACTCAGGACTCTTTGGCGACATTGTGACTTTAGTGGCACCCAATGTAACCAGTTATGTGATTCACTATGCCCAAGATATTGCTACCAGATATGGTAGTCTGGTAATCTTGTGTAAAAGAGTGTTTTTATGTGTATTTATGTGTGGCAAAGATCAGTGTGTAAAAGAGTGTTTTCTTTCTCACAAGGTTCCATGTCATGAGGTCTGAGACTGAGGGAAGACTGGACTCCATCCTCCCCAGAGAGCCACTCCTGACTGGTCAGAGCTGCCTCCCATGTCACTCTGGTCTCCGGGTACACATCATCCTGGAAATACTCCGTCTGCATTGGAGAGATCGTGGTACATAGTTTTCTGCAAGAGTGGGCACTAAAAATAATCCGTTTGTACCCCCATCAAAACTTAGTGACACAGTTTTCTTTTGAACTCACCCTAGTCCTGGGGACCTTGAAGAAGATGGGTTCAACAGTAGCCTTGCAGAGTCTGACAGCTCTTGCTATCTCCACTCGCTTCACATCACACAGGTACTTGGGCAGGTAACTCACAGCCTGGAAATGTAAACATTTAGTCCACTATGAATACCATTAGTCCTCACTGAATATTATAAGTTATTTCAACATAATTAGATCTGCTAATGGTCTCACCTGGTGTGGGGATCCACATGCGAATGGAGCAACATCAAACAGATATGGCTCCTTATCCTCCACATACTCATAGGCAATGATAGAGCTGTCTCCCTGGGGAATAAGACACATACTGAGGCAAAATCCATGAGATCTGAAGCCAAAAAACGTAATTCCCAGTGCAAGAGTTTAACTGCATGCCAACTGCATTTGTGTGGGTGTTGGATAAGCTTATGGATTGATACCAGAAAATAGGGAAGAAAAGACTAACTTTCCCGGAGAGGAAGAGGAGACAGGTGTCTGGGTCATAGTGAGGGACGAGCGTTGCCGGGGAGATGGTGGTAGATACAGAGGACAAAGGTTGCGAGAGGTCAGAGGTCACATACAGAGAAATGGTCCGAGAACTTGTCCTGTTGACAGTGAACAAATTCTCAATGCACTATCAACATTTTGAATAACTCCTCACTTGTTGATCCAGACACACTAAGCGAGTGTTGTTTAGCCAAACGAGTGCGGGCGCACGTGCTACCCTCTGGCCCCACACCCTCGTTAACGGGAGGTGGATTTCGCTGGGTCGATATTCTGATGACGTGATCCCTGGAGATGGTTGCTAGGAGTTTACCATCTGTACTCCAACATGGCAAACACGCTATTAATGAAGTCAAACCAAACTGTCGAGAGTTTGGTATGTTTACCTACAGCTACTCGATAGCTTCAGCAAAATGTAGTGAAAGCTGCATGTTAAAAGTCAAACGAGCTTCACAAACTGTAGTAATTTTTGCTGTAAATCGTTAGCCTACAGCTAACTGCATTGAATTAATCTTCAGCATAATAATGTAGTGAGCCGGCTCAAAAGGAGCAAAGAAGATGAATCTAGTTAATGGTTGACATGAGCAGAAGAAAGAGATTCTCACAGGTTGAGGGAGAGGGTCCATCCTGAGTGAGATGCTCTCTCCTCAAGGTCCCAGATGAAGAGTGGCAGTCAACCCAGCAGTGGCCAGGAGAGAGGAGCCTGGGGTGGAAACACGGAGGTTGGGCTTCTCCTGGTGGCCTGGGAGAGAGGAGAGAGAATGCCACTGATGTTGTATATAGTTCCCATGAGAGAGCCTTAATGTGGCAAAATTCAGCTATGTTGCGACATGGAAAAATTACAAAACTTCTGTCGACAACTCAGACAACATTGGTGGTGTATGGTGTTGATTTTACCGATGAGGAAGAACTCTGGTTCTTTGATTGTGCCTCCTCTGCCTCCTTCTGGCACTTCCACACCCTGATCCTGGCATCATCACAGGCTATTGGAGAACACAATCACATACATTACTGATAGTGATTCATGTGTGATATTTAAAGAGGATCGGACTTTCTTACACGATGGATAGCTAGCCAACGCTCATGCTACGCTTCTAGCTGCATAATTCAAAATTCAGTGAGGAAAGCAGTGTGTGCCAGTGTTTTCGCTACACGTCCTTTACATTAACTCACAAATACGTGGGATTATACGTATATGACGTAAAACTATTGTGGGACGCGGCTTGACAAAACATCCACGATTGTTATCATGCAGGCTTACCTACTACTAGTCTGTGGTTGTTGAAAGGATCGAAGACAAAGTCCATGATATTTGCCGAATTCTGAAACATCAGAACTTCGTCCGTGTCCTGACGACCTGTGTGAGTCAGCTGTGGATGGATAATGACATCACAATGTGTAATGGAGTAATTTATCCCGACCTTGAAGATGCCAATCTGTCCGCAGCGATGTCAAGAGCTGCAGCCACGAAATCTCTGTTTGCCTGCAAAAGAACACACCATTCGCAGTTGTGGCTGCTCTTTCAAATCAAAACTTTCTTAATATTCATCTTCCCTCATTATCTAGCCAAATAGCAGCTCATACGACTGATTCACTCTCGTCATCAGATCAATATCTCACCCATCATATTATCTTGCTAATGCTACAGCACTGACTGACCTGGAAGCCATTGCTGTCTCCAGGCACTGCCACACTCAGTTTAGGCAGCTTTCTCAATGTGTGTGCTTCGATGCAGCGTCCCTCCCTGGATGTGACGAAACTTTGACGAACGCACGATGTTCAGCACTTTGGGCGTCGGGTGAAGGAAGACGACCGAGATCTTCTTCAGAAACGCGCGAGAGTCTGTGGGGGATTTTCCCCCTGGGTAGGGATTTCCCGACTGATTTCCCTCAGAGGGTGGTCTGATTTCTGGGATTCGTTCCGTTCTGTTTGGAGTGTGATTTTGGTTGTGATGCGGCTTTCGGTTGTCCTTTGGATCCAAACTGACTTTAGCTACCTGCGAGAGATCATGTGATCATCACATGACAATCACATGACCAGAAATCACAGACAACAAAGAATATGTATATAGTAAACTACGTCTTTTGCAAGCCTTCCCAAGCAAGCACTTTGGCGCAATTGTCGCGCGTTCGCTGTTAACCGAAAGGTTGCTGGTTCTAGCCCAGCCAGGTGCGGATTTTTCTTTTCTCCACTCTCGAACCTTCATTCTGTACCTTCCCATTTTGTCCCTGGCACCACTGGTCTGCAGTGAGGCTGGTTCACTGCCGGCAGTGTCTGGAAACAGGTCGCTGTGGAACTCACTCTGACTCTAGAGGAAGTGATGGAAATTAAGTTATTGACGAAAATGTTTATGTTATAGCGATAAGAAAATTGTAAACTTATTCTGGTATTGGGCTCGAAAAATGTGATAAGGTGGACAAAGCATGGGCACAGAGGGAAGAAAAACACCTTTTGAGTATAGAGATGACAGAACCGATTAGATGGACAGAGCAGTACAACGGTGTCTCTTCCCTCACCTTTCTCTGTACGTGGTAGCATCTGGGATGATGGGAGTCTGTGTGCAGCTGCAGACATCTCGCGCGATCTGACACGCATACGTTCACAGCCTCTTGGCACCATCCCATCCCTTTCTGCTGCTCTGCTCCTCGTCGGTACACATTGGGCCTGCTCACATAGCACGACAGAACATGCATCGTAAATACTGTGGAGGAGCGACGTATTCTTCTCTATTCAAGAAGTATGCTATGTCCGCGGAGAAGATAAAATAGAAGGAGTGGAACTTGTGTCGCTTATTTTCACATAAGTGACAGCCTCGAGAGAAGTCTTTCATGTATGCCATCCCAGGCCATGCAGGACACACTGTTAACTATTAAGGTGCACATCACAATGAAATGACCACCCTCGACTAGTATATACCTTGTGAGAGATATGGCGCTCTGAAACTTCGATAGAACATGAGAGTAGTTACCTAAGAATTATTTGATTTGATGTTCATTAGCAAGGTTAATTAGGGGGCTTACTTACTTGCTACAAGATTGAGTTGTGTTTGTAGCTGAATATCCGCTGACTGCCCTGAACTCTATGTAGCGACGTGCAGCTGCTCTCCGTGATCAGATCCACACTCTCCCCGACAGAAGATCAACTGAACCCACACACATCAACACCCGAGATATAGGTTTTCTCTTGATTGGAAGAGGTCAAAGTTGAATCGTCTCCTCGGTTCAAGAGACTGTCAGGTGACCTTCGAACTTTGTTGTGTAGTGGGCGGAGCTTCATCAACATTAGCTTTATCCGTCTCATCACTCCACCCACATCACCACCAGCATCTCTCCTCGCATCTCCACTCCCACCTTCACCAACAGCACTCTTCTCAGTGTCACCTTCACTAGTCACACCTTCCACGTCCTCATCACCACAGCTTTCCTCTCCTGTTTTTGTCAAAAGACTGTACACCTGAAGAAGGTCCTCAGGGACCGAAACGTTGTGTGAATTGAATGAATGTTTTGTGCCAGTGAAGACTGACGGAACCACTTCTTTTGTGAATTTCCATTTTAACAAGGCATAAAAATGGCATTCTTCTGAACTAAATCGTGTCTGTAACAGTTCTGTATATACAACCTGCATAAAGAAAATGTTATTCAGCTCCGATAGCGTTAAGTAACCTCAAACGCAAGTAGTTAGGAACAAACCTTCAGAATAGCAGAATGTCTGATTATAATACACTCGTACTTCACTAACAGTCGGCGTGGGTTTCCTGCATATTTCATGCACACTTAAATATGCCATCATTTATTAGCAGTGTAGAGCTGTCACGTAATAAACTTTACTTTCCAGCACAGATTCTGTTCTTCCCTTTGGTCCCGTACCCAAAAACTTTGCCAGGAAAGTGTTACACACGGTACATTGGTTCTTTTTCTCACTATTAATTTGAGAGACTCCCTCTCTATATATAATACACCCCTCTGAATATCCCGCTGACTGCCCTGAACTCTATGTAGCGACTGCAGCTGCTCTCCGTGATCAGATCCACCATCTCTCCCCGACAGAAGATCAACTGAACACCACACACATCAACACCGATAGATGATAGAGTTTTTCCTCTTGCCTTTGGAATGAGGTCAAAGTTGAATCGTCTCCATTCCGGTTCAAGAGACTGCCAGGTGACCTTCGAACTTTGTTGTGTAGTGGGCGGAGCTTCATCAACATTAGCTTTATCCGTCTCATCACTCCCACCATCACCAACAGCACTCTCCTCACAATCTCCACTCCCACCTTCACCAACAGCACCCTCCTCAGTGTCATGTTCACTAGTCACACCTTCCACGTCCTCACCACCACAGCTTTCCCCTCCCCTGCACAAGACACAATCAGCAGAGAAAGATAAAGGAAGAGAGGAGCGAGATACAGAAGGTGGAGAAGATGACATCATAGGGGGTAAAAGACAAAAGTTTGGAGCGAAACTTTCCATTTCCAGCACAGATTTGTTCTTCCCTTTGGTCCCTACCCAAAAACTTTTTGCCAAGGAAACGTTACATGGTAATTGGTTCTCAACTATTAATTTGAGAACTCCCTCTCTAATGTAAATACACTCCCTCAGTCTCACTGTGTGTGTATGAGCTCCACCAGGTTAGTGACTGAGGAAGGAAGAGGAGGTCGAACTATCTCCAACACACTCTCTCCCTCGCAGGGGACGTAGGGAGGAGGGTGGGGCTGTGGATCACGTGATTCAAGGGGTGTGGTCTCGGGATCACGTGACCTGTGCTCGGCCATCCACTGCTGCATTTCCCTGTGCATGAGGCTACCCCACAGCTCTCCATAGTAGGAATTGCTGTAGGCGAGGAATTAGGGAAGTAGGGAGATACGAAAATGAAACCCTTCTCTAACCGATCAAGGTGAAGCACTGATTTCCCGGCTCTAGAAAGTGCAGCTGCCAGTATACTCTGTACTAGTCCTGTAGACGACATAGTAGGGACTATTTATAAAGCACACACTTGCCCACTCACCAGTTCCGTCTACCACGACGTCAAATTCTGACGGCAGCTCGTCCTGTGGCAGATGAGCCATGTTCTTTATACTGTAGACACTGTCTTCACCCCCCAGTTAGCCAAGAACCCAGAGCTGAAGCGCGAACAATCCCGTTGTCTCGGCCCGACCTCTATCTGCTGACTCAGCAATAAAGCATAGCGCTGACTCGGCAGACTGCACTGCACCGTTAATGCACAAAAATGGCTGGGCCGCCGCTTCCCGGGAAAGTGAAGGCGGTTCTGTTCGATGTAGGTGGAGTCCTCTTCTCGCCGCCACAGATCGCCATCTCTGAGGTGGAGAGGGAGCACGGACTACCTCTGTGAGCTCTGACAGTGGACGAGTCTCCACGCACATTTCCATCTTCGTCCTCTCTCAGGGGCACTTTGGTGCGAGCGTTTGTGTCTGGAGAACCTAACAATGCCTTCTGCAAGCTGGAGAGAGGAGAACTGACGCTCTCACAGGTTAAACTAGCTTCTAGTAGCAACATTAGCTTGTTAGCTTGGCTAATTTTGCCTTGTCAGTTGAATAGCTAGCCCTTAGGACATCGAGTCGTCTCCAGTTTCGTCTCGTTTCTCTTTGCTGAAAGTTCTTTCCAGAGTTTGAGAGTGAGGTGGAGAGAGTGGTGGAGTCTCACGGCTCCACTGTGCCCGCTGGGTTCTCAGCCTCGGTGCTGTTCCAGAGAATGTCCAGCTCAGTGAGACCTGTACCTGCCATGATCAGAGCTGTGGACACCATACAACAGGCTGGTGAGATGGAAAATAATCATAGTGTGACAACTTTGCGGGAGAAAACTTCACAAAGTTTGCAGTTTTTGAGCCATTGGAGAAAGGTTTCTCTGCTAAATTATGTGTATAGGCAGGGACATTCATATTACAACCGAAATGTTTTGTTCACAAATTCTACCAAATTGCAAAGGTTCTCTCTTGAAGGGTTGTAACCATTTAGCCTGTCAAGAAGTTTTCATGCTGTCATTTCTGTCGCTGTATATAAGAGTCTGTTATTCATCCTGTCGCTATATATGAGTTTCTCTTTTACACCATTGGTTGGGATATTTTTCCAGGCTATAAGACTGGGGTGATCACTAACAACTGGATTGACGATATCAATGAGAAGACCAATGAACTGATGACTCAGTTTCTCAACAGTCATTTCGACGTTGTTCTCCAATCGTGTCAACTGGGGATCCGTAAACCTAATCCTCTCATATATCGACTGGCCTGTCATAGACTGGAAGTCCAGCCTTCACAGGTAACGCGGCATATTCCTATCTCGTTGGTAATCTAGGCCTCAGTAATTATGATGCATCCATCCGCATTCTGCAGTGCTTCTAATCCCAATTCCAGTTAGCCTGCCATTTTTTGGCGAGCTAATGCGAGTTAGCCTTTTAGAATTATGTATGGTAAAAATGCTGTCTTTCACACAATTAAAATGACTAGGTGGCCTGGGCTCACTTCATTAGCCAATTAATGGGTGGTGGAGTGGAGAAGAACCTCATGCAATAATACATGTCTCAAGCTATACAGCCATCTATTTGTAGGCAGTGTTTCTGGATGACTTGGGTCGTAACGTGAGAGCTGCCAGAGACGTTGGCATGACTGCAGTGAGGGTGAGAGAGACACATCAGGCTCTCAGAGAACTGGGGACGCTGCTGGGAGTGAGGCTGGCATTTGAGAAGACTGATAGTAGTAGTAGCTCTAGTCATGTCTCACTAAAATCT